ACTGGATGATCTGGTGAATGTTCTCTGGAAAACTTCAAACTGCCAGTTGAAGCAGGGATTTCTTAAAATGTTTTAATGACAGTGGAGCTGGAGATCCCTTCTCCAGCCTGAGGACATCCACTGTCTGCTGCTGCTAAGATGCTGATTGCTGATGCAAACTGGTGAAACCTCACTCTACACTCTATTCAGCTGTGTAGTTTGTAGGCATATATTAAGGGTTTTACGTTTAACGAAAAATAATATATTTCACATTTTAAAAGCTGCACCTTGAGCTTTTAAGACTTGGATGTTAAATATCCTGATGTTTTTTGTCTGGATGGTGTTTCTCTGTATTACTGACTTGGTAGCTGACAGGCGAGGACCTCGGCTCTCAGACACAGGCTGCCGTTCCAGCTCTGAGGCAGGATCCGGATGTACCGCGCCGTCACAGGTGCAGCAAACTGACTCATTACAGGTGTTTCCTTATCCACGTTCGCATAGAACAACTTGAGGAGGGATAACAGAGAGGGAGGGACTGTATTTTATAATCTATCTCTGATAAAGCTGTGGCTGAGGCGTCCAGGTTGTGCTCACCCATTCAGCGTAGCCGTCATGCAGCACGGTCCAATCAAAGCTGTCGTTGCTGAAGGCCACGTAGTAGGATGAAACAAAATCCTCACTGTAAAGTAAACATTAGTAGTAAGTCTCCTGACAAAGAATACTTCAAACCACAGGCGTAACTTTCTGAAGGACTGGTGGGGACGGTCCCCACCAATAATTTCTGCTTTTTTTTTTTTTAACAAACTCTAGATGACTCATATATATATATATATACACAGTTTGGTTTAGTGTGTTAATATGTCAATATTTATTAAAACAGTAAAACATATTGCCGATATTTATCTTAATGTTTCTTTACGTAATGTAAGTAACTTACATAATTTACGTGACATGAACACCAGTCAGTTCAGTCTGAAAGGAGGTCAGGGGTCAGGAGTCAGTACGAAGCAGGACAGTTAGCGATTATAAATGTTCAATTCAGTTTTCCTTCACTGTCTGAGCGGGTCAGTAAATAAATGTGAAATGATTGGTTCAATCATAAAGATCAAGTTCTTTAATAATTGCTTATTTAAATCTATTTATACACTACTGTGTCCAGAGACTCATAAAACAGGACATTGTTTGTTTTTCTTTGAAGGTGCATAATAAAATTATATACCTGTACAAAAAAAGAACAAAAACAATTCCAACATGATAAAATAAAGTTTTATAAACCTACAGTCCGTCCTGATAGTGACGCTTGGTTGAGCCTAAATGAAATTCAAGCACTGGGGGCAATGAGCTGACATAAACAGATGTGGCACCATCTGCTGGCAGAACGATGAACTGAACTGGAGACAACTGAGGCAACTATTGAAAAGATCCTAATGGTTCTGCGATGTCTCACTGTATAACAACAGCTCATCGTGGTCGAAGACCAACTGATATGGAGTACATTAATTACAGCTGATCTACAGCAACTCTAAGTTCTAGTGAATCCTTCCCAGAGTCTCCTATCGGAAGATCACGGGAAAAGAAAATTCCTTTTCCTATCAAATGCAAACAGGAACATAGCATTGAAGTAAATAAAAAAATTATGATGTTATTTTTCCTTAAAATATAGAGACTAAGAATATCATTGCTCTCACTACTATCAGTATTTATAAGTTGGTTTATGCACACATCTATCAACTATCAGTGGAAAATTAACTAACAGCAGCTACAACTGAACGTCTCAGCTGCTTTAGCTTCCTCCTTATTGAATATCTACTTTCCTTTAGTTTACCTCCGGCACACATGCTCAGCATTGTACCTCCTTTGTTTTTGTCGAGCTTTATTTACTAAAAAATTCAATTATAAATGAGCCGTAAAACATAAAAATAACAAATAATGCTGAAGCTACTGGTGTATACATTTTAAAGATGTCATATACTGTCACCAACAGGGGCTTTTATTGCTTCCATTCCTCAATTAAGGCCAAATTTAGTTAGAGGAAAGATTAACTGTTATGATGGCACATTGTCTCGCTAAAGGTGCATCTTTGCAGCTCCTCCAGAGTTACCATCAGCTTCTCGGCTACTTTTCCATAAAGCTCTCCTTGCCCAGACCTAGTGAATACACTGAGCAGTTCTCTAAGTTCAAAGCTTGGATGTTGTTCTGCTTTAAACTGCTTTTCTCTGACCTGTCTGCAATGTTCAGCTGTACCTATCTGCTTAAAGAATCTCCGAGGCCTTCAGAGAACAGCTGGTTTCATACTGACAATGAATTACTTATTAACCGACTCCTTAAGAACACTGACTGGACTTTATTTTGGTGCTTTACGCAGAATAGCTTTTAAATTTTCATTTGAGATTTATTTAAATTCGATTTGAAGGAATTTATTGTTTTCCATCCACTTTATAATTATGTGTTACTTTGTGTTGATTTATAACATAACAAAATAAATCAATTTTTAATTAAATACGTGTATTCCTGCTTGATTTGAGCAGCTATGTAAGGCAATTTGCTAATGTAATTTGATGATTACAGGTAAAATCAGAAAAAAACTACAACTCATTTATGCTATTTAAAATGTACAACGGAGTATTAGGGTCAGGATGGAGGTTTATTTATTTTTATTATCATTTTGAGAATAAAGTCATAAAATTATGAGAAAAAAGTCGTAATATTACGAGAATAAAGTCGAAGGGCCAGGTTAGACATATTTTTGTTTTTTCATTTTGAGAATAAAGTCGTAAAATTACGAGAATAAAGTCACAACGAGAATAGCCATAAAATTACGACAATAAAGTCGTAACAGTACGAGAATAATGTCGTAATATGACTAGAATAAGTCCACAACCCGTTTCAGAAGGTACGACGGTACGAGTATTAGGGCCAGGTTAGTGATATTTTAGTTTTTTTATTTTGAGAATAAAGTCTTAAAATTACGAGCATAAAGTCAGAACAAGAACAGTCGTAAAATTACGACAATAAAGTCTTAACATTACGAGAATAAAGTCGTAACATTACTAGACTAAAGTCCACAACCCGTTTCAGAAGGTACGACAAAATTTATTTAGTGACTTTATTCTTAGAATAAAAAAAACAAAGAAATCTCTAACCTGGCCGTAATACTCCGTTGTACAAACATACTTATTTCAAGAATTTATTTTATTTGTTTTGAGATCAGTTTTTGCAGTGATCTAAAAACAAACAATTAAATTCATTGTTGTGACGATAAGATAAAAGAGAAAAGTACAGATTTGTTACGTTTATTGAATTTATACATGTTCTAATTGATCTAGATTTAAAAGACAAAAGAAGCTGAGAATAAATCAAGAATATTTTAGTAATTTTGGATTGAGCAGCTTAACTGAAGGGAATTATATCAACATGGATTAGAAATTCTTGGAACCCTGTTTGGAGCAGACTCACTGTTGCTCAGAGTTCCTTCCCTGGGTGATGACCCCAGTGAACTCCACCTCTCGGCGAGCGTCCACCTGAAACCAGTGGCCTTTCTCCTCAGGCTCTGCACACCATGCGCCTCCATACGTGTCTTCCTCCTTCTCAGAGCCCTGCAAACCCATAACAGTAAACTGATGTAGTGCTGGAAGCACCTCTGTGTTCCAATTATCGTTTCATTGGAGCACAGTATGGAGTGAATTTTCATCCATTATTGTTACAGGATAAATGTAAATTTGAAAAACAAAACACATTTTCGAAATTGAAATTGCAATTCAAACATGAAACTTTGAATAAATATGAGAACAACAAAAAAAGTTGCTCTTTTCTCTCTCTCTCTCTTTTTTTTTTTACATTTTTCACATTCATTTTTCATAATACATTTTCTAAAAATGTATTTCTTTTTTTATTTCCTATGTTACATAGTAGCATCAACACACAAGACCAATACAATGTTATTATTGTTAGGAATCCAGTTTGTGTGGCCTGTTTGTGTGTCTCTGTTTTCCACCACCAGGAGGTGCCCTGTCTTCGCTGCCCCTCCCTGCACACCTGCGGCTTGTTGGATAATTTTCTGGAGGAGTATTTGAGCAGTGGACTGTCACTACCTCAACACCAGAGTGTTTGCCAGTTTTGGGTACTCTAGCCAAGCTGAGTTTAGCAGAGTCTAATCTAGCTTTGTTTCTCTGAGTCTAACATGTGTTTGTCTTTGCTCCTCGGCAGGAAGCTTTCCTGTGTTACAGAATTCTTGGACCTTCTCTCCCCTGGAAGGATAAACCGAGTTAAATGGAGCCAGGAAAAACCTCCATATGTTCCTTTCAAGTACCCATCGGAAATCTGAGTGAAAGTCTGCTCCTTTAATCCTCTGGGTCCAACGCTTGTCAACCTGTCCGCCCTCCAACGTGTGCATGTGCACCCTTCTCTGGATTTACCACACAGTCTGGATTCAAGGGTTAACAAGACCCCCTCAGATGCGAGTGCCCCACCTAGCAAGATCTCAGAGCTTCCAAGATTCCCACGGTACCTGAACTGACTGTTGAACTTCCCTTCTCACTTCCAGTTCAGGGTCACCTGCTCTCTGAGTTCCAGATCCAACACCTACAATAAACCTGTTAAACTTTAGCCTTGTTCTCTGAGTGGTTATCTCTGCATGTGGGTCAGATTCGTAAACCAATCATGACAACTATATTGTTGGTGCTAATGTCCATGGAGACCAATAGAAATGTTTGTCTCTCGTCACTGCAGAGGAAAGCCCGGCCCCCAGAAGTGAAGAGAATTTTATCTGTAAAGTGCAACTGAAAAAGAACATTATCTTGTAAAACTCAGTCTTAGAAATAAAAATAAAATCTGTAAAAACACATTTAAATAAGTTTTTTTTAATAAAAACAAAATTGAAAGTTAATAGTATAAAAAAAATTAATTACAGCATTTTCTAATTTTAATTTCTTGATTTCTTTATTTTTCCTTTTTTTACATTTCCATAAAAAAAACATGTTCTTTGTTTGCGACAATAATGGAATAAAATTCACTCCATACATTGAACAACATGCTCCAATCAGCATGGCTGCTTTTGTGTTTGTATTTGTCACTTCACAGAGCATATGGAGCATTCACAGCCCTGTGTTTGGTGGGATGTAACACGTTTGGATAATTTCCCTCTGCAGGCTTACCTGCATGTTAAGGCGTCCCCTCTGAGCCGAGAAGCCATGGTGGGACTGAGAGGAAGCCAGCAGTTGGTCGTCTTCCACCCGGTGAGACTCCAAACCCAAAGGAGGGCACTCTGACAGAACAACATGAACACTTAGCTCAGCTTTCTCAGACTGAAAACATTCACAGTCACTGCAAAACGTGAAATGTGTGCATCCAACCAAGTTTAACACTTTTAGATGCAGACGTTTTTTTTATTATCTTGCTTTGAGACTGATGCAGAAATCTTGCCAATCATAATTGTCTCATTGCACCAGAAGATCATTGCAATTATTTTATAGCTGAAATTTTCTCAAAAGAGGATTAGAAATCTATCAGAATCTGCTTGTGCTTAGTATATCAATAAAAAAACAAAAAACAAAACACCCTTTTGTATGATCCAAGATTGTAGGACTTGGTTAGATGCAAACATTTTTTATAGTGTAAAATAAAATTAAGCAGTTTTGAAGCTCGGATGTTTGGAGGCAACAGAATATCTTACTTTTTGGCTCAGCAGGAAGACTTGCCTGCTTCAGTCTCTCTGCCTCTTCCTCCTCCCACTCTTTCCTCAGCCGCTCAGCTGTAGGGATTACAAAGCAAACAGAGCTTCCTTACTGGCCACCAACCATCAGAGAGGATTTATCATTATAGGTCCATGCATCACCTTTTCCTTTCCACTAACACCTCTATGTGATCCTGAAAAGGTCACACCTTTGTTTTTTTTAACTCCTTTTTTGGTAAAAGGAAGATAATATCAGAAATACCTTTTTCGTTCCATAGGAGGGAAATTTGGGAACCAACAATATGTCAGTAGCGGAAAAATAACTGGAAGGAAATTGACTTATGGTTTTAAAAGTCTTTTACAAAAAGACGTAACTCTACCAGCTGCCGTCAGAAACAACTCAGTAATTAACAGATTACTCTTTTTATGTAAATTAATCTCAGTATGGATTAACATCAGCCAAAAGCCTCCAAGATTTGTTATAATACAGTAAAGTAAAAAAGTCATAAGTAGCAAAAAAGTCATAAGTAGCAAAACAGGAGACTGATCAGGGATAAGGCTGGGGAGAAGTTTAAATAACAATAACCAAAATAATAACCGTGGACCAGCTGAGGAAAAAAAAATCCTGAAGTGACCATTTATTTTATCACCTTTTCAAACTAAATAATGCTCAGTTATTTAGCATTTTTCGAGAGAGTAGGAGCCGCAGGTTCAACATCCCTGGTAGTACGGAGTGAGTTTTGTTCCATTATTGTTGCAAAAAAAAAATGTTTTGGAAGTTGAAATAAAAAAAATGTAATCCAGAAAGTTTAAAAACCATCTTAATCAAAAAAAGGTTATGGGAGCAACTTTGCTGTTTTCTCAGATTTATTTTTCAGATTATCTTTTTTATTATATTTTTCTTCAAATTTCTGTTAATTAGATTTTTTTCAAATTACTTTTTACAGACTTCAGCCCCTTCACTTTGGTGCAGGCTTCTATTGGTCTCCATGGAAATTAGGAACCACATTTTTAATGGTCAAGATTGAAGCAAAATGTATTCACAGTTTCATATGTGGATTGCAAACTTTTTTTTTTTATCGTTGCATCAATAATGGAACAAAATTCACTCCATAGTTTTCTTGCGTACATTTTTAAAGTTAAATAGGAACCGTATATCCGGTCAAGAACCTTTTTCTGCCTTTTCCTTTCGTGCTCTCTCCTCCTCCTCTTCTTGTTTCTTTGCCAGCTCACTTGCCACTGTGAAAA